TCGTTTTTATTCTTCAATTTTACTGTTCCTTGTATTGTTTACTTTGTTAGAAACCTTTAGTAGTATGATTTTCTCTTACGATTTCATGAAGTCATTATTCAATGAAGATAATCACATACTATTTTTTGAGGTAAATATAAATAAAACAATAAAGTTCAAAGAAATACATAAGGATTTTAATCAAATATCCATAATTATTATCTTGAATTGAACAGCCATTATTGTATACTTGACATCGGAGGGATCTTTTTGGATGACGAAATTGGTTTAGGTAACCAATGACCCAGGTGACATACTATGTATTTAAGACCATCTAGATAATATTCATTAAGACATGAGAATATTATAAGTGTCTGTAATCGATTGCACGTCTTCTTCGTAAGTTCATCCTGTGTCTGGCCGACATTGTGTTTGATGTAGACTCTGTATTATCTAGACTGCACTCATTAGTATTAGAATTGACAACCGAAATCGGAACAGACTCACCTGGTTCCTCGGATTGTGTAATCAGCATGTCAGTTGTGTACTGAAAACGCTGATACCTAGAATTTAAAGCACAAATTTCCCAACACTATCCTCTCCCACGAAATAATGCTGGATCGTTATATCCCCAAGTTATGAATGATGTGGCTTCATTTAAAACATATTTCTCACATTGACTAGAGTAAACATTGAAAGTGTTTTTGTGATATGGATAAACAGCAGTTGATGTGAAATCATCCGAATTGTAATCAAAATCGAGCTCATTTAGTACTTGTGCCTCGCATTGAACACGTTTCTCACAAGAAACAAATGCATTATGAGGACAAATACTGCTTGATATGACATCAAGATTTGATTCTTCTGAGATAGTTTCCTCGAATTTATCAAGAATGTCATTGCAGAGTAAAGGATCATTAGAAAAATCAGCATCTATCAAAACTACATCAGGTTTTCGATCATGACTAGGTTCATTCAACAATTTTTTCCTCAAATTTACAAGGAATTTCGTCAGAAATAAGCGAGTCATTAGGAAAAACCTTATCTGGTACAATAACATGAGAAATGTGATAAGTTGATCGACTAGAAACTGTTGTCTCGCAAAGATTCTGAGTTTCACTTAACTCTGAACTGTTATATAACTCTACACTGTCTTTTAAAATCGTTGATAAAGATAAATGGTCATCATAAATACTCGACTTAATAGAATCAGAATTACAAGACTTAATATTAGTTACAGTAAGCTGAACATTAGTATTACAGACTGACTGAATAAGTCCCATATCACCACATTTAACGCACTTATAATGACGAAATTGACATGGATTAAAAGAGTGGAACTTGAAGCAGGACAAACAATGACCAAACGTGTGCACATTTTCGTGAACTGCATCGCAACTCCTCAATGAATTATCTGCATAGCCTTGAGTATGCACTGGATTGGGACGACGTGATGTAATGGAATTTTTTATATCCTCATGGATCGTTTTACGAAATTTTCTTCCTTTACCACATACTAAATTTGTATACTTGACATAGTCTAGACGTAGATCCTAGAGAGCTGTATAAGAAAGCGAAATGGGCTTTTCCGGTAAATCCAGAGTTTTTAGTAAGCCATATGAGTGAACATCTACCGACTTGGTTTCCGCCCCATACAGTAGAACTGTCTTGACATTTGTATTGAAAACCCTGACCTTGGTGTTGGTTGACAGTTGCTTTGAGTTCCAGACGTTCCTCAGTTGTAAATATGCTGTTTTTGCTTTACCGATCCGCGCCTTCAAATCTGCATCAGATCCACCATGTTCATCAATGGTGCTGCCCAAATATGTAAAGGTTTTTACATCTTCCAAATCTTCTCCGTCAATTGTGATTGGATTGGTGCATGATGCTTTGTATCGGAGAATCCTGCTTTTCCTTTTGTGTATATTGAGACCTACCGCTGCTGAGGCTGCTGCTACACTTGTCGTCTTCTCCTGCATTTGTTGTTGCGCTTGGGAAAGAAGGGCCAGATCATCTGCGAAGTCAAGATCGTCCAATTGCATTTTAGATGTCCATTGTATCCCATGTTTCCCTTCAGATGTTGACGTCTTCATGATCCAGTCGATCGCCAGGAGAAGGAGAAAGGGTGAGAATAGGCAACCTTGCCTGACACCGGTCTTTACTTCGATTGACTTTGTCAACTGTCCTCCATGCACTATTTTGTAGTGTAATCCATCATATGAACTCTGTATGATATTGACTATCTTCTGAGGCACGCCGTAGTGTCAAAGAAGCTTCCATAGTGTTGTCCTGTCCACGCTATCAAATGCCTTTTCGTAGTCAATCAAGTTCATGTAGAGTGATGAATTCCATTCAATTGATTGTTCCACAATGATCCGTAGAGTTGCGATTCGGTCCGTACACGATCTCTCTTCATGGAATCTTGCCTGTTGGTCACGAAGTTGAGCGTCTACGCAGTCCTTCATCCTGTTTAACAGTACCATGTTGAATTTTTTCCCAGTATTGAGAGAAGAGTGATGCCATTGTATTTATCACAGTTGCTGAGATCGCCTTTCTTCAGTATTTTGATCAGAAGTCCTTCTTTTCAGTCTGTTGGTACTTGTTCCTCATACCAAATCTTATTGAAGAGAATGTGGAGTATCCTTGCAGTTGCCGCTACGTCTGCTTTTAGTGCCTCTGATGGAATGTTGTCTAGTCCTGCTGCTTTGCCACTCTTGATTTGTCTGATGGCCATGCTTATCTCTTCAATTGTTGGTGGGCCAACATCGATTAGGAGGTCCGTGGGTGCTACTTCGATGTTGGGTGGGTTTAGTGGGGCCGGTCGATTCAAGAGTTCTTTGAAGTGTTCTACCCACCTGTTTCATTATTCTTCAATATTGGTGATTACCTCACCTTCCTTGCTTTTCACTGGTCGTTCAGGTTTGCGGCAATTTCCAGAGAGTTTGTTTGTTGTGTCATAAAATTGTCTCATGTTTCCTTCTGTTGCAGCCTTTTCCGCTGTCATTGCTAGATCTTCCAAATATTTACGTTTGTCGGTTCTGATGCTCCTATTCACTTGTTTGTTTACTTCTGTGCATTCAGCTTGTGCCTTGACTTTTTCTGCTCTTGTTCGACTGGTATTCATTGCTGCCTTTTTGTTCCTCCGTTCTTGAATCTTATCTAGTGTATCAACAGTGATCCATTCCTTGTGATGGTGCTTCTTGTGACCCAGGACCTCATGACATGTTGAAGTGATTGCCTCTTTGATCTCCTTCCAGTTGCTCTCCACAGTAGTTCCTTCGCCATTGAGTAGATCATGAAAGGCCTGGGATTTGTTGCTGAGGATTATCTTGAATTCGTTGAGTTTGTTAGTGTCCTGAAGAAAGGTTCTTTGTTGGGCACTTCTCGACGATTGACTGCAGTCTATCGTAGAATTGATCTTCAGCGTCTTCATTGTAATCGTTGGTAGGCGCATAGCATTGGATGACGTTCATTGTAATCCCCTCTTTCTTTGTTTTGAATGAGGCTTTGATGATCCTTGGTCCATGAGATTCCTATCCTATAAGTCCATTTTGTGCTCGTTTGGACAGCATCAATGCAACTCCTTGTGTATGTGAGGCATTTTTTTCTTCATGGCCGGAGTATAAAAGAAGCTCTCCAGAAGTTAGCCGTTGTTGTCCAACTTTTGTCAATGTGTTTCACTGATCCCAAGTACCTCTAGGTTGTAACTCCTCAATTCTGCAGCGATTTGGAGGGCTCTCCCGGTGTCCCACATTGCACAAACATTCCATGTACCTAAATAAATGTTCGCTTTGGTTGTCAGAAGGGGCATCGGCCTCGTAACTTCCGAAGGAATTCGGCTTTCATCATGAGGCGTCAAAGTTCTACTAAATGAAGACCTTCTGACTCCCGGGGCAGAGTTTAAAAGGTTTGAATAATTTTTTCTGGTTAGCGTTTTTTTGGCGAGTTAGTTTTCTACGGGATGGGGACGCTAACCCCATGTCCAACCCTCCTCCTTTATCCGGGCTTGGGACCGGCAGTAGCCCTCGGAGAGACTCCAGGCGGAGTAAATAAGTAAATAAGTAGTGAATGGAACAATGTAAGACGGAATTAAAAGTTATAAAATATAAAAACAACAACAACAAGAGAAACAGCAATGTGGATTTGACAATGAATTCTATACATACAGAGAAACATTACTTATGTCACTTTTATGCGTAGAGACTAAGATTGAAAGTATATGGATTACTAATGCCAATGTAATTTATGTATTATTCATTGAATCATCTTTCAAACAGACAAACAAATGTCTAATTGTACAAATGAGTTTCAAGTGATGTATTCATTGGAGCCATGTTTCCGGAGTCCACAAAATAGTTCTAATATTGAATTGTTCATTGATTGACATGAATTAATGATCGTGGTTCAGAGTAATCAATCCAAATTATTCCCATAATTGACTTGTTGAAAGTGAATCTCAATAAGTAACTTTGTTGTCGATCACCATCTGAACTACATATACCCATAGAGGTGAAGAGTCCTTCACGAAGAAACATTCGATCCCCTCTGAAATTAATAACCTCTTCCATGTTTATTCGTTGCTTATGTTTACGTTGTTGATATTCACGATTGTAGTTGGTTAGTGTTGGTAATTGTCTTTTGATGTCTTAACTTCAACAGACACTAATCATCTTTTCTAGAGTATTGCGATTTATAAAATGAAGAGACCACGAAGAAAGATTCGCCACCCTCTGAAATTAATAACTTTCTCTTCCATTTTCATGAAAATTGAGACATCGATAATCTAAGCCACTCGCACATTGACTATCTGCATTCCAGTTCATACATTGAAAATAATCCGAGTTTTGTCGAACGATTCATTGTCAAACATGATTAATTGTGGTTTATCAGGTGATTCGATTGTTCCATAAGGATTTCTTCTATTCGATTGAACTTCATCAAGTGAAGATATGTTAAAGCGTATAGAAAAGTGCTGAACATCCATTCATATTTATCTGCATTACATTGTCGAGATCGAAAATATGAAAAGACGATTCGGTACAGTAGTTAATGCCTGTGAACCACAATTTTTTATTGGATATTTTGAGTTTTTAGAAAGAAGTGGGTTGTGCAGGTTGTTGAATTCTAAGATTAACATAACAGAGTTAATTTCTTATGAAAAGTTTATTATAAATCCGGAGAGGTGTGGACAACTGTTGTATTCTTGTATTTGGGTTGTCAACAGAGTGCAAGATCCTCGAGTCTTGTAATGTTCGTTCATCTTCTTAACTGTTAACCTGATATTCACTTACCTATATCAACCACTCCAGTCAATTTGTGAAATTATTATGACCATACTTCTTGCTAATAGTGTAATTTTCCTCACACCCGGAATGGCTAAACTCCGATGAGCACCGTTGTTTAGGTAGCTGCAAATAATACCGCTAGAAGTCATTCATTGTCATTATATAGTAAGAAATAATGTACGAAGAGAAATATGGTATGCAAATATTATTGATTTTCTTAAGACACCCAAATTAGTCGGTCCGTTGAGTAGATCTACAAACATTCAAATCATCAAGATGTTCTCTTTCACCAAACTCATACTCCTCTTCTTTGCTTGAGATGCTTATCTCGATAAATGGTACGTTTCTTGATAAAAAATGATAGTTACGTCAGACAATAATTTGGTTCAAACAAAAAATGTTTAGTAAGTGAATTTGTTTCCGGACTCCATTTTGAACCCACCCTTGAATTCACATGAGATCAAATTCATAATCCTCGAGTATTTCCATCAGCTTGATATTGTTCAGTTGTTGGTCCAGGTGTTGGCGAAATCACCAACCTCATCAAACACCATCGACGAATAATTGTGTCAGTTCCTGAGTTTCGCAGTTCATTCTTGGTCGGATGTATTCAGCCAATACGTCTAATAACTTTGTCAATTAACATTTTCACTATTCAACTTATTCTTATTGCGCTGTACTGTGTATCGATTTGTCATTGAGAAACAGCTTACACTATGTGAATGTAAATCAGGTCATACTATTCTTCATATCTAAAGAGTGAAATTATTTATCGTTAAGCAGTAATCAATAGCCGAAAATCTCTCATTTCTGTACTTTTAAATTCCTCACTAATAATTATAAAAATTATTATCCGATGTTGTGATGTTCACAGTTGGCGCAATTGATTTTGTAGATGATGTTTGAATTTTCTTTTGTGAATTCATCCTTTGGTTTGCTTAGTATTTCTTGTAGTGTTTAGGTTGATTTGTGTACTCTGCCTATTCTGAAAGGCCTCAACAATCTCATTATAGTTTCTTTATGTGGTCCATCGATAACAGACGAGTAAATTACAAACAATTCTCTATCCACAAACAGTTTATTTCATTCACTTAATGATTGTGTAGACTGCTGTTGTATCGGATCGTATATTGAAGAAAAGATGACACTTAAAACATCTATGAACTATAGCTACTACTACTACTACTACTACTACTACTACTACTACTACTACTACTACTACCACTACTACTACTACTACTACTACTACTACTACTACTACTACTACTACTACTACTACTACTACTACTACTACTACTACTACTACTACTACTACTACTACTACTACTACTACTATGATACATTTAATTTTGTTGTTTAATGATTGAATAAATCGATTTCTATATTCTCATTTTATTATGAGCATTTGTTGGACCTATCATCGAGAAGTTTTATTGTTTCTTATTTGCTGTTACTCGATTAAAAATCTTTCAAAGACAGGTCAGTGAAATACTGAAGGAACTAATCTATTAATTAAGTTACCGAAGACCTTTCAGTAGGTTGTACCCAATTTTAGATTTGATATTTAGTCTGGCTGACAAGTCCTTAACTGGACGAAAAGCTGTTACTGAGTCAGCCTGCAAGCCAAATCTCAACATTTTCCCACGTAACTTGTGTAATAGTGGTTCCATCGAGACAATCTATAAAGGATGCACATATGCCAAACAGGACTGATCAAGTTTCAACAAAAACATAGTTCAAACCATTACAAACAGAGCTTGGTATTAAAAATATGATCTCACTGATCGTTACAGAACATTCACCAGCAAAACTCATCGTCGACATACAATTGATTGCTGTCCACAAAATATTCAATATTATCAGTAAATATTGTCATTATCGTCCTATTCCGTTAGTTCGCTAACACTATCATTAACAAGAGTACATTAGATGCTATGCTAACGTACGTTTCTTCCACCTGACCCTTCCCCTCATTATTTTCATCATCAATATCATAATCCTGAAAACATCCATTACAAACTTCTATCTCATTATTTGTGAACGAGAAAACAAATTATATATATATATATATATATATATATATATATATATATATATATATATATATACCAACCCTTGGTGATGATGAATACAATACTCATATGGAATTATCATTCATCATTGATGTGTTGTCTAATTTACTGAAAATTTATTTATTTATTAAGTCAGTGTTATGCTAAAACAACCAAAATAAGATATGCTAATGAATGAAACAATGTTAAAACTGGTGATCTCTTCCATCTATTACGGTAGAAATACTTTAAAATCGTGTCATTTTTTTAAAATTAGATAGGTCATTTACTAAATATCGTCAAGTTATAATCAATATAACAAAAGTAAAAGAAAATCGTGTGAATAAAAGGCATAGTAGTAATGCAGTAATTTGTTTGGGTTCATAGCGAAGCACACGTCCATTCAGTGCAATGATCCTGATCATATGTGAATGCTTTAATTTCAATAAAACAGTTATTTACCCACTTTTTCATGATTCATCTAGTCCCAACACACTCACACACACATACACTGATATATTCGCCTACAATACGTCAACACCAGCAATCTTTAAAATCTGGTAACATGTAAATAAGCATGTGTGAGTGTGTGTGTGTGCATGTGTCAATGTTGTCACTATCATCATCATCATCTTTGTTGTCTTGTCCTATTCCCCATTTTCTCGTCACATTTACTATCCTCATTGTTTTTCCCACCTTCCTGGATTCTCATATCGTTTGTTTGAAATTGTTGTTTTGAAAATAATCCTCAAAAAATTAGTTTCTTTTGTTCCGATTAAATTTATTCTTTCTTTTGATGGATTTTATTTGATGGATTGTTGTCTTCCCAAATGTCAAGTGAAGATTTACCGTCCAGCTCAATAGTTTGATTGTGATTTCGCAAATAAGAGGAGAGGTGAGGAAGATATTTCACGTTTAAGACCATTTGTAAGGATTCTTAGATGAACTACTGTATTTGATAAATGCTTTAAATCTATTTTATACAACTAACGGGTATAGTCGTATTCCATTTGTTGAAAGATTCCTTATTCATGATACAACAATTGGTCAATCTATGCCTTTTATTGTTTGAAACATTCATGAAGTTTGTTCCATGTCAGTCACTTGCTTCAATACGACTTTGATGTTTCAAGTCTTGCTAGAACCGTAAAACCAAATGATTCGGTTCACCAGCAATACTCTAAACAACCCGTGATTAAACAACATAACAGCGATAACAAAATATTGAATGTTTCCATGAATCAAGGCTGTCGGTGGTTACACTGCCGTTGAATCATCCTTACACGCCTCAAACATTTCACCGAAATGCCAGGTTAGCTATTATTTTTAATGTACTTTCACAATGATATTCTAAATTCGCACCAAAAATAGTGGAAGTCTAATCGGCTTATTTATCTTACAAATTGATATATTTCATCCACGCAGCATTGACATTTTAAACGTATTCTTTTCAAGTAGTATTGTAGTGAACGAGAATACAAGTGAAGACAATCGAATAGATTTGAACACAAAATTACAGAACATCTAAGTGAAATCTGAGAACCATACAGTGAATACTGAATTCGCGAACTGTCTATCAATTCTCTTAAGCTTGACAGTTTTTAGTGGCCCGTGGATCTGACTCCAATTACATCGCACGAATGTTCGATATCACCTATCCTCGTATACAATCATCGACTTAAATCACGTAAGTCAATAACGGAATTTAGATAAGTCAGATAATGAGAATGAACTTTCGTATACATATATTTTGTATGTAAAGTGAATGTAATAGAACAAAGCAAAATGATGCGCAGTGGAGATGGCTGGTTAGCCAACTCCATTTCTAGCCAGGCGTTACTCAATATCTGTATGAAGATAAAATAAACTACAGAAATGTGATGAGACATGGGATATGAAGTGTACATACATATACGCTCATATAAAAACACAGTCAAGACTGATAAGCAAATAATTAACAAGGTCAAAATATGACTCAATTAGAATAAATAGATTGGGCTGTCCGAAAGTTAGAATAAGATATATTATGAGATTAAAATAATGACTGACACTACATATTCGTCTTAATGGTCAGTTTGAATCATCGAATCAGTAGTAAACAACCTTACATTTCAAAATTCTATATATACCTGACACGTTCTATTCAAATATGAATAGAACATACGAACTCAAATTGAAAATCGATACAATGAGATCACGTTGTTCATTTCATCTGAACCATTTTAGACACAACGTGTTATCTTCTCAATCCATGTCACTTATTCTAATTGTCGTCTGGCTTACCAAATTCTCGAAATGCCACGATGTCTGTGATCAACCTGGATGGACGAATTCGGGAAAAGTAATTTTTGAAAATCGTTCATATCGATATGTAAGTAATCAGTTTGATCGTTATACACATATTCAGTCTCAGCATTTTATGTATTTACAGAGTATCAGTATGAATCAGTCTCAGCCAGCTGTGAATACAAATTTAAATAAATCCAATAATTTATTGGTGAATCGAATACATTTTGTGATGGAGATATTTGTCCCTTTGTTTACGTCTAAATATTACAGTATTCAGGTCACAGGTTACCATATTTCCGTTTCTGGTAAGTCAATAATTTTCTTTCACCTCAAATTATAACTTTATTTTCTTGATAACATTTCTGTCCATGAATCCACGTTGTATCCATTTCTTTAATAAATTAGTTTAATTCTCCTTGAGACATGCAAAAATTCTTCCGATATTCTTTCTTGTTCAAATTGTGTCGATAAAGTGACGCCTTATAACAATCCAGATGCAGTTCATCCAATTCATTTAGGTCTTTAGTTTATTTCATTTAATGTAAAATGATCAATCATGTTTCATGTTTTCAATAAATAAATACAGGTGAAATAAATATGCACGGAGAAGACTACGTCGGAAATATTAGACCGTTTCGTTCAGACAATACAGATCCTGAATTTGATATTTCGGATGAGAGTGAGTTCTTGTATTATTCAGTTATATTTTGTTTTGTTACTTATTCCCACAATTTATTTTGCATACATTATTCTCTATTTGGCTTGATTATTACACAAGAGCTTATCAACACACGATGATTGTTTTGTTTGTGTGATTTTCGTACCAGAACTTCTGTGTTTCACAACACCTTCTGATTACTATCATGTGAAAAAAATTAAACAAAACAGAGTTTCATCTCAAAATACAAACACATTGGAAGAGTAGAACTGACAAAACAAGTGATGTTATTGTTCGAGTGCCAATTACCAACTCTATAGTCTATCATGAGAGCTGCTTGAGTATTTGACTACATCGGTTCAATAAATCTCACAATGAAGATCATAACTTACATGCAAATGTAGTCCGTGTTAATACGGTCATTTATTCAATGTGATAAATATTCATTACACAGATATTTAATCATCCATTTTTATTTTCATTATTTCAGAGGAATTACTTGCTGTCAGATGGTTTATTAATCAAAACGTTGATGGTAAACGTAAGTCAACACATGTGGAATCCACACACTTACATCTTCATTCCATATGATTATCCATAGGTTGTCAGATTTAATTTGTCTCAGAAACTGAAAATGTAGGAATTTGTCACTTTTCAGAGAAATGAGGGTGGAATTATTTGTGAAATCCACTGTTCGCTTGATGACGTTGAATAAGATTTGAAGAATAGTTGATGTGATTTGGAAATGACTAAGGTTGATGAGTAAAATACAGATCACTATATTGGATAAATCAGGTCACAATCCTATTTCATTTGTGATTCATTTACGTTTACAGGCTTGAATTGAATTTGATCATCAGTTTCAGTTTCAAAATAAATAAATTGTGTTTTATGTTTGTCACAAAGTCAGTTCTGTACATAACACATTCACCTACACATCCATTAATCTCATAGTCATTTTAAAAATATCCGTAATACCATCTATCTAAGGCTATTCATTTCTCATCTACAACAAATAAACACTATGGTCGTATTCAGTTGATCGATTGAAATGTCACCTGACCATATAAACAATTCAATCCACAAGTCCAATTTGTAACCAAACACTCCAAATCTTATGTCATGTGTACACAGTCTCGATTGTTTCAGGAGGCATTCAAGAACGTATATCGCATACATATGAATACGTCATTGACCATTGGATTTTAATGGAACAATTACCGATTGAATGTTTCAATAATAATAATACAAAAGTAGTACAGCTTTAGGCATTTGACCTTCGTCTAGAAGGATGTATGTTTCTATCATTCATTTAATATGAAGTTAACTGAGGAAAATATTTGACATAAGACAGTAAATATTCTCTGAA